CAGGATTTATTGTTTACTCATGCTATTAATAATAATTATTGTTTCTAAATACTTTTACTCTATTATTATAAATAATTATACATTTTTATATTATTGATACTTATTTATTAATATAATACATAGGTAAAAAAATTATGTATATTGCAACGATATTAATTGAATAATATTTTAACTTGCTTTCATGTATTCCAATTAAATTACAAATATATTTTAAATATAAAACAAGTGAAGTTATTGAACATTGTTTAATTTGTGTGCATTTTCATGAGTATCGGAATGAACGATCCATGTATATATTATGTATACAACTAAAAAGTATTTGGTAAAGGTTTTTACTTTTTATTGACTTAGAACTAATTATTAAAAACTCAGAAGCAGAGGGTTAGAATTAGATAAATACCGATATAAAAATCCAAAAAAAGTACATTTTTAGCTAATTGGCAAATGTGTATATTTTCCACCCATTTGGCTTATGCTATAGGCCATCTATATAAATTGGATTTTTTTATCTGATTAATTATTTCTATTTTTATTATCTATATATATATAAATTAATGTATGTGTGTGTGTCCCTCACAATTTTCATCAGAGTTTGTAGAAAAACAGCATTATATATTTATTTTGTGTTAATATATGTAGAATCATAAAATATAAATGAATAACCAAATTATAAAAAATGAATAACATGTATTGCTTTATAATAGCCCGTAATACTTTATAATATTAGCGGGGCGCGATAAAACATTAATATTTACTATTAAGTCATCCTCAAGTCTCAACAATGTGCATCGGGCGAGCCAAAAATTGTTCATTGTTCGCTATAGCAAAATCCCAAACAAGTCAAATATTAGCGTGATGAAATTATGATGCAAAAAAAAAAAGGACCACGACGGGCGGGAGGCAGGTAGACGAGGAATCCGATGATAACTAAGCGGCGATCGACGGACGAAGTACCCAGCGGGTGCGGGTAGACGTGCAAAGCCGGGCGCGCACGTATGTCGATTTCGGCGAACTTTAAAAGTCTGTAACTTCCAAACTAAGTGCGAGCGGCGCAAATTCTTTACATATTCGTAATCAACATTAAAAGTACTGTCGATTTAAAAAAATAATCGAAAAAAAGGTTGCCCAGTAAAGTAGATTTATACCATAATTATTTGTAATGTTCTAACTATACTTTGTTATTTTTCCAACTATGTTCAAAATTTAAAAACTATAAGCCAAGTGGAAATAATTTAGTAAACATATTTTATAAACTTGATTATATTAATTTAGTATTTTTCTTTAATAATGCACAATTGTTTCTAACTTTAATACTAAAATAACTTGTATGAAATCCGTTGTGTTCATAATATGTACACTATTAGTTTTTATTCAACAAATGATTAATATTATATGTTTATTACTGCTGATAATAACTTTTAAAAATAAACATGTACATAATCATTTTAGAAAATACATTTTTGTCAAGGCTGTTAGAATACTTAAGCCAAACAATTTTTTTTTTATTAAATCGTGGTCAATAATAAAATAAATTTTAATAATTATAACATTAAAAATAGATAAAAACAGTAAAATCATCAATTTTTTTAGTAAAAACTATTTCCTTGCAGTCTTTTGTTAAGTACCGGCCACCGCCAACGTGTTGAACCATTATATTTTTTTTTTGATAGCTCGAATCTCATAATTATTTAACATCAGTGATAGATGGCCGCAGTCGGTAACCAACCGTTAGTTTGTATAAACTTGACTATAGTAAACTTAGTAATATTAACGTTTCGTTAATAACTTTTTAACCGTATGAGACCCACTTCACGTTAATTATAATATCACACACTATTTTCACTTTAATTGGCGATTTAAATTGATTATAATGAACATACCAATTTTTATGTCCCGTCATATGATTAGTAGCACCAGAGTCTAGATACCAGTTATCCGATTCTTGTTCTGTGAATAACAGTTCACTGTAAAAAGCTTGTCCTATTTCACTTGATTGTGACAAATTTCCCTTGGCATCGTCTTGGTCTTTTTTATACTTCCTGCAGTCCTTTTTGAAATGACCGCCCTTTTTGCAATAAAAACAGGGTCCTATCTTTTTTGTACCCACATTTGGATTCCCAACTTTCCGTTCACCAAATTTTTCACTGCCTGTCTTTTTAGAAAATTTCTTCTGGAACTTTCTAACAGTTAAAGCATTATTTTCTTCTACAGATTCAACTACCGAACTACCTTGATACATTCTCGACTCCTCAATAAGTAACCGAGATGTTAGTTCATTTAAATTCTTACTTTCTAGCTGCATTGAGTCCCATGCACTGTAAAAATGTTTATACTCCGATGGCAAAGTCATTAGAATTTTCGTCATAAGCATAGATTCTGTGACTGGTTGTCCCATCAAACTAAGTTGATTCTGTAGGTTTTGCAATTTGGTAATATGCGTCGACATATCGTCAGCCGAGTCCTTTACGTAACTGAAAAATTTATGTTGTATTAAATGTATACTCGCCTCGTTTTTCTGCTCATAGACAGCGAGTAATTTTGTCCACATTTCATACGATGTTTTACAGTTAATCAGGTATTGCATTGGACCGTTGTCAACCGATGTTACTATCAATTTTTGGCATTTAGAGTCAGCACGTTGCCAATTTAATAGATCCTCTTATATCTTTTCTGGGCGTCAGCTTCTTTGCTTGTTAGCACTGGTTTTGTATACTCTCCTGTAATTAAACTACCCAACTCATATGAAGTTAGTATTACCTTCATCTGAAATTTCCAAAGTGTCCAACCTTCAATATTGCATAGCTTGGCAATCTTTATTGATTCTTCCATATCAATAGATGACGTACTTGTATAGTACTCTTGAACGACTTTGATAAATGTATATCCAATATACACTTCGTCAGGTGCTGCTTAATTACTATAATTCACTTACTTGGTGATCTTAAAAAAAATTGTGTTCTTCAAATACTTGACTCTCGATGTCCGGTGTGCCTTTGACTATATGTCTGAGTGTCTGGGCGCATAACCTGTTGTAATACTATACATAAATATAGTATCAGAGTGCGAGTAGTAGTAGATGATAATCAAGTATTTAACACAAATAATGTTATTACAATAATAGATATATTATACATAGAATATATACAACACAGTGAAACAATAATACACTAGTAATATGTATAAACTGAATAGAAATACTGAGCCCCGAGCCCTTAGATCAAATGCTATTTATATTAACCCACAAGGTTGCACGCGTCTACACATACACGTGTGCTTACAAAAACAACTTTGTTTTTCTATAACTTTTCCTGATTAACAACTACGTATTTTTATTATACAGATAAACAACATATTTATATATTGTGAAATACTACTTGATATATAGAATATTAATTATTATTCCAACAAGGTCATTAGAATTTTCGTCATAAGCATAGATTCTGTGACTGGTTGTCCCATCAAACTAAGTTGATTCTGTAGGTTTTGCAATTTGGTAATATGCGTCGACATATCGTCAACCGAGTCCTTTACGTAACTGAAAAATTTGTGTTGTATTAAATGTATACTCGCCTCGTTTTTCTGCTCATAGACAGCGAGTAATTTTGTCCACATTTCATACGATGTTTTACAGTTAATCAGGTATTGCATTGGACCGTTGTCAACCGATGTTACTATCAGTTTTTGGCATTTGGAGTCAGCACGTTGCCAATATAATAGATCCTCTTATATCTTTTCTGGGCGTCAGCTTCTTTGCTTGTTAGCACTGGTTTTGTATACTCTCCTGTAATTAAACTACCCAACTCATATGAAGTTAGTATTACCTTCATCTGAAATTTCCAAAGTGTCCAACCTTCAATATTGCATAGCTTGGCAATCTTTATTGATTCTTCCATATCAATAGATTACGTACTTGTATAGTACCCTTGAACGACTTTGATAAATGTATATCCAATATACACTTCGTCAGGTGCTGCTTAATTACTATAATTCACTTACTTGGTGATCTTCAAAAAAAATTGTGTTCTTCAAATACTTGACTCTCGATGTCCGGTGTGCCTTTGACTGTATGTCTGAGTGTCTGGGCCCATAACCTGTTGTAATACTATACATAAATATAGTATCAGAGTGCCAGTAGTGATGATAATCAAGTATTCAACATAAATAAAGTTATTACAATAAAAGATATATTATACATAGAATATATACAACACAGTGAAACAATAATACACTAGTAATATGTATAAACTGAATAGAAATACTGAGCCCCGAGCCCTTAGATCAAATGCTATTTATATTAACCCACAAGGTTGCACGCGTCTACACATACACGTATGCTTACAAAAACAACTTTGTTTTTCTACAACATTTCCTGGTTAACAACTACGTATTTTTATTATACAGATAAACAACATATTTATATATTGTGAAATACTTCTTGATATATAGAATATTAATTATTATTCCAACAGTCAGCACTTATACATTTCGGAATACCAAAGAAGTTGGTTAAGTAAATAAAGTGCTGCAATTCTGACACGCTTTGCAAAGTGCGTTTTCTTGGAGAAACATCAAAGGAGTTTGAGGTCAGATGTGGATTGAAACAAGGGGACGCGCTATCTCCCGCTCTCTTCAATCTAGCACTTGAAAAAGTCGTAAGAGATATGCAGAAAGACCGAGAAATGGAAGTACTGGGGCGCTCAACTCTCTTAGCATATGCGGATGACATTGTGTTATTTGGAGAATCGAAAACGGAATTAGAAGGGACAGTACGAAAGCTCATACTGACAAGTAAAAAGATGGGCCTCAAAATAAATGAAAATAAAACTAAGTATATGCTAATGTGTAGACGACCTACTCCGTTACAAAATGTGAGCATTGATCATTTCTCTTTTGAACAAGTCGAACATTTTAAGTACTTAGGCGCTAATATAAATCATAAAAATAATATGCATAACGAGATTAAGTCCAGGATAAGTGCAGCAAACCGAGGATACCATGCAATGAGAAAAATGTTCACATCGAAACTGCTATCTAGAGACACAAAGAAAAAACTATACATTGCCTACTTGCGCCCCATTGTCATGTACAGATGTGAGACATGGTCCACGACGCAGGGTGGCGAGAATAACCTATTGACTTTCGAAAGGAAAATACTTAGAAAAATATATGGGCCTATATTAAACCCCAATACTGGTGTATACGAGCGAAGAAAAAACGCTGACTTAAACATTCTGTTTAATACAGCCAATTTAAACGATTTTCTAAGGTCGAAAAGGTTAGAGTGGGCTGGCCATGTTTGGCGTGCAGAGGGTGGACTGATAAGACAGGTACTCATCAACAAACCAAATAAAAAACGACCTGTAGGCAGGCCAAGACAACGGTGGTTGGACCGAGTTAAGGACGACCTGAAGAGATTACGCAATGGAGCAGGTATTGAGGATGCAGAGCATCGAGAAGTTTGGAGAGCTTTGGTAGAAGCTGCGAAGCGCCTAAATGGCGCGTAAAGCAAAAAAAAAAAATTAATTATTTAGTTTAAAATAAAATTTTCTTGTAGACTATATAAAACGCGAGTAGCATGTTTATTATTTATTTTATAACTGTGTTCATAATATGAACATTCTTAATGTTTTTATGTGAAATAAGAACAAATCTTGAAAAGTTAAAATAAATTATATTTGTTGCAGACTTGCATAGAAGTATCATTTGATGCCGGGGGTTGTTACCCTCGGTAACAAAGTAAGGGTTGACCGTGGAATTTTTTTATTATTTTTTTCAGTCTTTTCAGCCGAATATCCGCATAAATTAATTTTTTCTTTTAAATTTAAAAATTCTGTGCATGAAGAGGTTAAACTGTCGTATTATTTTTTTCGTAATTAATGTAGTTTTGAAATTTTGGAAAAGTATAAAAAGCAATATTATACATCAAATGTCATCGGTTTTTTGTTGATATCTGTTATAAAAGCATAATTTTTATTAAATGTTTAAAATTCACTTTTTTCCTTGTTTTCAATTACTTTAAATAACACAGATCATGTATGTTGAGCACTAATAGCTTTATTTATAGGACATTTAAATGTTGACCATTAAAAGTGGAAAATGTTGGAAACCGATGCTATAATAGTTTAATTAAAAAAAAAAATGATCCACCCATAAAAACATCTCATTTCTGTAAGATATTGACAAAATTCTTTTATACCAAATCCCTTAATAAATCGAAAATTGTACGTCCTCATAAGCAGTTTTTAAAACAATACTATTGGATTTCAGCATTGAGACTTGGACATAATATCAAAAAGTGTGTTGGAATTATAAACCAAACACCATTATTATATTACAGTTTTTTTTTTTTTTTTAAATAGCCTTTATTAGTAAAAAATATTTGGCTCAATATTACATAGTTAGTAGGTCGATATAATTCTTAGTAAGCATATTTTGTATTTCCTGTACACCGAGTATTTAATTATTGTTATTGGGAGACAGTCGTCGCTTTTACTTATACGTATACACATATTGATATTAAACATTTTATTTGTTATACCATTCAACCCTTTTATTAATTGATACGCTTCTGAATAAGGATTTTATTCCAACCAAGTGGAATATCCAAAGAAGAAAATGAAAAAAAAATATGATTCATTTTCATTGGCTGAATTATGCTTACGACAACTTATAGCAAGATTCGATCATGCTAAAGTGTTTTTGTTCTGTACTAAAGTATGTATTTTTGTCTTCTAGTTTATTATTTCAATTTAATTACTTTCCCGTCCCCACTCGAGCAGTTTTTTTAAATTAAATTAAATATTTTTAAACATTCACTTAAATTAAACGTTGGTGTACTTAGTTGGAGTTTTTAAGATTGTTAATTGCTAACGATTTATGAAAAAATGTTCACTTTTTGATGATCTAGGTAAGGTGGTTTTGTACATATTTAATAGACTTTTGACATTGTAGAAAGTTAAAACATTACTTATTACTTATTAAGTATTTATTAGTGAAGGTAAAAACTAGGTTATCTATTGTTGATTTAAATTTATTATTTTATACAACTAAATTTAATTTAACCTCTTGTATTAGTATAAGTTGCTGAGAAATTAAACAAGTTCTTTAGAATAATTATATTTAAATCTCTTCTTATGATATTTTATATAGCGTCAGTTGAAGCGATTGCAATTTTAGTTGAGCAAACAAATGAGTATAGTGACTATGACTAGTTCAACTAGCATGAGTTCTTGCATTGGTTTGTTGAAAATTCATAGGGCTAACTATAGTAACATCGTGTAGCAGCATAGTCATGCGGTGTGTCCTTATAGTAAATGAGATCAAAAAGAGTGGTCTTAAAAAACAATATTTCTTCGACTATTCGGTTTGAAATAAAAGCAAACAGCAATCCTACTGGAGTTATATATTATGTATTATAAAAAAGAAAAAGAGTGAATGTTGATGTCACTGCACTGATTGTAGGAAACATATTTTGCCTGTTTACTCTCAAACTTGGGCAACGATTATTCCCAAAGATTGAGTAGCTATAAGTTTTGAACTGGAAGAGACTACAACATAATAAATAAAGTAAAAAATAGTGTGCCCGTGAAAAGAAAAGTGCGTTCCATAAATGTTATTATAATTAATGCAATTTATAACGTGTGATGGTATAAAGTACAAACATTTAATACAGGCCGCAGTGCGTCAGTACTCAGTGGTTATCAGCCAAAGGCTCTTAACAGTGTTATCATTATTCGAGATAACAACCGCATCGACTGCGATACCGCCGGTGTGCCGTGTAGGGGAATCGTGTAATGAGATTGTAAACTATAGCCGGTCAATAACGACCATTGAAATAAATACATATATTTATATTATATCACTAAAACATAACTAAAATCGATAGTTTGATTAGTTGTTGTCATAGATGTTATTATATTATAATATTATCTACAATGACAAGTGACAACAGCTACTAATCAAAACTATCGATTACAGTTGGATGATTTAATCGATAGTTTGTATTCAATTGTGCCTCTATAGCTATGCCCATCACTGCGGCCGCCGGCCATTTTCCATCCGTCTGCCGTCAGCGCCTACCGGCTCTGTTCGACCGGCGTCCGCTGGAATTCGGTTGCCGTAAGCGGTTCGCCTAACAACGTACCGGAATCGAATGCGTTGTTGTTTTTAATAATCAAAAACGCTTTTTTACTCGAAACCTCAGTTGTAGTGTACCTGTAAATTAATTTAACTTTTGCGGTTGTATTCGAAATTCCGACGTAAATTCAGCGAGTTCTCTGCGCTTTATGAAAAAAAGAAAATCTTATATCCAATTGTTGTGCACACGGCAATATGGCCGTCAACGTCGAATGGATTTCGTGTGACGGGTATGTATTGTTCTAGATAACATTTATTCAATTTGTTTTACTTCGCCGGTTTCTTGGTTAACCCTTTAAAGGGCAAAATTAATAGATGGTCTAAAACATGGTGTAAAACTTTTTCAATTAACCCTTTGACGAGTACGTTTTTTTTCATTTGGGAGTGAATTTTTTTTATGAAAAATTTGATATTTTTCTTAAAGTAAAGACGTCAATTGACGTCCTAGATTTTTGTCCAAAAATAGTAAGGACGTCAATTGACGTTTAAACATTTTTTCATTACACAGTACAGAAATTAATACTTTTTATGGTTTTAGAATTAAAAGTTAATAAATATATTTTTAAAACCAAAACATTAACTCTTTTATTTGAATTTAACTGATTCAAAAATAACATATTAAATAGATAACACAATAAATAAACACAATTAATAGTGTAAATTTGTATGGTAAGCTTTAAAAAATGGCTCTAAACATAGTGCCTGGCCACAGTCTTTACACTCATAAGCTGTGTCTTTTCTACTCTGGATATTTAACTTAGTACATGAGTGAATATGACATTTTCTTTGAGCCCTTTTTCTTCCTTCGCGAGGTACTATAAGGGATGGAAAATGACGTTCAGTGAGACGAGTCGGAAAATCACCTTTCATTTTTCTACCTGGACGACTAGGACTTGAATTCTGAGAAGTAGAAACTCTGAAGCAACTGTTCTATTAATTTTAACCTGAAGTCTGGTAGTTTTTTTTCTATTTTATTTAAAGATTTGTACACGATATACGAATTAAGAACAGACAGATCAAGTAAATGGAAAAAAAACTTTTTATACCATTTAATAGATTTTCTAGATGTACTGTTAAAAGACATCTACTTATGAGATTTGTCAACGAGACCCATATTTGCATTATAATCTAGTATGCATTCAGGTTTTTTAACAGAATTTCCTGAACGACCTAGTTTATTTGTAACTGACATTTTTGACTTGTGCACAGTTGACAACATGTGTACATCTCTTTTGTCCTTCCATTTACAAACCATCATGTTATTGGTTGTAGCTGTTATGCATTGACCACGAACTAATTTTTTCTGAAAAGTGGGCATACCTTTTCTCTTATGTCTGACTGTACCACAAGCCCCTGTGTTTTTTTCTAACAAATATTGGTACAGTAATGGAGATGAATACCAATTATCCATATAAATAATATGTCCTTTATTTAAATATGGTTGCATTAAAGTGGATATAACTGAACATGATTGTTGCAGAGCAATATTTAAATTGATATGTTTGTTATCGCGTGTATAGACTAAATAGTCTAAAACAAAACCTGTTTTACAGTCACAAAAGACAAACAATTCTATTCCAAACCGATGTCTTTTTGAAGGAATGTATTGTTTAAATTGAAGTCTTCCTTTCCACTCAACTATACTTTCATCAGCACATACCTTTTGGTATGGTTGAAAAACTGAACGAAATTTCATTCTAAGAGATTCGACAATGGTCTCAATTTTAAAAAGCCTATTACCCTGCATTTGATTACGGTTATCACAAAAATGTAATAGCCTAAGTATAGCAAGATACCTTCTTGGCTCATTATTTTCCCAAATATAGGTCTCTAATATACGAGACCAAATTCTATTTTCAAAAAAGTGAATTACAGTAAAAAAAACAGGTGGTTAATATAAGAACCACTAACACTTAAAGGGTTAAAATAAGTCGCACACTAGATTTTCCCGCTCCACTTATTAGGACCTTAATATCACGTTTAATTATTTTGACAATATTTTTGAGGTCTCTTTTTTTTAAAATAAAATTTCTTTAGGGCTGTTATACAAATATCGTGCATATATTTTCTGAGTTACAATACAAGGAAATAAAACAAAAGTCTATTAATTGGAAAAGTACAGAAATCTCCTAATTCAGTAAAGTTGAGGTAACCTTGAGTTCTAATAATACTTGTTCATACCTATTATTGACTATTATATTACTGGTTACCAATTATCGAAAATAATGGAACGAGTTACACATATGTTAATAATTTCACTTAACCGACTTACCATTAACTTAAACTGTTTTGCTTTTTTGGTAGTCCATGTTTTAAACCTGAAATCTAACGTGTTGTTTATGTACAAAATAGGAACAGTAGTTTGGAA